GGCGAGAAATCAAAGTTAACGTTTCGGGTCCAGTGACCCTTCTTCAGAAAAAAAACAGAAGTTGCTGGAAAAGCTCACCAGGTCTGGCAGCATCTGTGAAGACAAAATATCAATGTTAACGCTTTGGGTCTGATGACGCTTCTTCAGAGCTGTTTGTTGCTGGGAAAGGGTTAATATATATGCTGAAGAGGGGAGGAGTAAACAATAGGTGGAAATGGAGCTGAATTTCAGTATTAGTCTCCTGGTATGTTAGGCTTTGAAAGAATTACTTAAAAATGTGATTCACAAAAAAGTATTGAAGGATATGTGATGGCCTATTGCTAGCCTCCCATTAGCACAAGACTTTAAATCCAAAGCTACTTTTTCATTAAAGGTGTGAGACAAGGACTTTTCATCGACATGACGTGATTCAGTCTTTCTCTGGTAATACATGAGAAAGACAAAAAGCATTTGTATGTAAAACCTCGGCAAAATGCATGGACTGGAATGCAAGTACTAGCTAAATTCTAACTGCTAATGAAGAAATTATATTTGCAAATATATAAACCTTTTAGTGACAAATACTGCAGCTGAAAGTCAATTCTGCAATGGGTTATATGAAAAAATAATGACATTATGAAAGAGATGCTCCTTGGGTCTTAGATAAATGAACAATGGTAAGCTAATATCTTTCCTGGGCATTACAGGATTGGCATTACAACTGAAGAACTCATGAGATGGTAAGGGCTGTGGTCTGTGTCACTCAGTCTCAGACAAATTCAAAATTACTTTTAGTGATGTGTGATCATCTCTGGTCTCAGAACGGACTGCAGTTAGATGCATGATTTCTGCACACTTGAATCCCATCCGTGCAGGGAGAAGGACATTCATCAAGGCAGAAGTCTCTCAAAATTTGCCAAGCCTTTTGAAATTGGACTGGACCTTCAAAGGTAAACTTTAATCCTGGGCTTTAGTATACCTTAAAGCTGTCAAAGTGTGGAAGGTCCAGGTGAAACAATATGGTGTGATTAAAAAGAAAGTAATTGTCCAATGGTCTAGTAAAACTATTAGATAACATTGATCAATCCCAATTATTTGGGATTACAAACTTGCAGAATCTGATCAATTGGAAGGTTTTGAGACATTCTGTAGCTCTCTAGCAACAGGGTGCAGGAATAGTCAGCTGGGCCCCTCTGATCTGCTCTGGCATTCAATAAGATCATGACTAATTTGATTTGCTCCATATTTGCATACACTTTCATCCATTTGCTTACCTCCTTACCTTTCACATCTCACCTGTACTGGAAAGCTGAGTGGGTTGATTCAAAATACTTTCTTACTACTTACCTTTTTCCTCAAGTATTCAAGTGTACTGCTTCCACTTCCTTTTTGACAAGGTCAGAAATTACACAACACCGGGTTATAGTCCAAAAGTTTTATTTGAAAACCTGGTGATTTTGTGACCTTGTCCACCCCAGTCCAATACTGGCTCCTCCACATCACTTGCTTTTGAGGAAGAATGTTCTAACAATTCACAACAGAAATATTTTTGCCTTATCTCTGTCTTAAATGGGCTATACCTTGTTTTTAAACAGTGACCTCTGGTCTTAGATTTTTCCACATCTACCTTGTGAAGACCTTGCATAATGTTTCATAGAATCCCTACAGTGTGGAAACAGGCCCGTCAGCCCAACAAGTCCACACCAACCCACAGAGCATGCCACCCAGACCCATCCCGCCATAACCCACCTAATCTACACATCCCTGAACACTTCGGGCTATTTAGCATGGCCAATCCACCTACCCTGCACATCTTTGGACTGTGGGAGGAAACCAGAGCACCCGGAGGAAACCCACGCAGACATGGGGAGAATGTGCAAACTCCACACAGACAGTCGTCCGAGGGTGGAATCAAACGCAGGACCCTGGTGCTGTGAGGCAACAGTGCTCACCACTGAGCCACTGTGCTGCCTCTTCCTACTCTTTCTTCATACTCTTCTAGACTGTAATGGATACAAGCTTAATCTGTTCAACCTTTCTCATAAGCTAATCTGTCTATTCCAAATGTTAGTGCAGTAAACCTTCTCTAAACTGTTTCCAACATGCCTTCTTAAATAAGGGGATTGATACTGTATGCTACTCTGAATGTGGTTTCACTGGTCTCCTGTATAGTTAAGACATAACCTTCCTCCTTTATATTCAGTATTCCTTGAAGTAAACAATAACATCTGTTAGCTTTCCTAATTACTCGCTGTACCTATGTACTATTTTGGGACTCGTGCCAGGAAACCCAAATCCCTCTGCATCTCAGCTCTGCAATCTCTCACCATTTGGCTAAAATGCTTCTTTAGTTATCATGCCAAGATGCAACATTTCAGATTTTCCCACCCTATACACTCATTCGCCAGTTCTTTTGATGAGCTGAATGCTTCTGCTTCAACCACCAAACAAGCATTGAATTTCATACTCCCACCATTTTTCTTATATTACTTAGAATACTGCTGGTTGTTTTAAGTCTGTGTCTGCTGGTAATTTACCTCTCCAATAGGGAAACACATCTGTCCTGTCCACTCTATCAAAGCCCCTCATTATTTTGTACACCTCAATTAAGTCATCCCTCAGCTGCATCTGTTGTAAAACAAACCTCGCCTACTGAACATTTCCTCGTGCTCGCAATTTTCAGTCCCTGGCAAACTTTTTGAAGATCTCCTCTGCTCACTCTCCAGCGCAATTATGTACTTTCTGTAATGAGGACACCAGAACTGTGTACAATTCCAGCTGTGGACTTGGGTGGAGGAATTGAGACATTTGAGAGCCCTGTCAGTACACTACTTGCTTAATGTGTATTTCCTTGTGTTGTTTGCCCTCCCCAAGAGCATAACTTTGCACTTCTCCAGATTGAATTCCATTTGTCACTTTTCCACTCAACCAAACCATTGTAATCATCCTTCTGTTGACCGCTATCATCTTCACTATCAACTGCAAGGCTGAATTTTGTTGTCTGCAAATTTCCCACTTATGCCTTCTATGTTTTAAGTTTAAATTAATATTACCACAAACAGAGATCCAACCCAGTTCTGTGTAAAACCAGTAGGAAAAGCTTCTCGTTTGAAGAAAAAAAAAAATCCGTTGCCTTCTGGTTCCTGTCACCTAAGCCAATTTTGAGTCCAACCTATCACATCGCCTTGTGTCCCATGATCTACTTTTTCTGATCAGTTTGCCATGTGAGATCTTTGGCCTTACTAAAATCCAAGTAGACAACATCCACTGCATCGCCTTCATCAATCCTCCTTATTCCCTCAAATTTAGTTGTTAGTAAGACATGATCTTCCCTTAAAACCATTCTAACTACCCTGATTTAATCTGCACCTTTATAAGTAATGGTTCATCTTATCTCCATATTGATTCTAATAATTTGTTCGCTACCGAGGTCCGACTGACTAGCCTGTAATTATTTGGCCTATTTCTTGTATGCTTTTTGACTAATGGTAAAATATTTGCGGATCTCCAGCCCTGTAGTACCTTGCCTGCATCTAGCGAGGTTTAAAAAATATCCCTCAGAGCATCCACCTTTTTCCTTCTGCCCACATTGTCTGCATTCATGCAAAAGGCATCCTATATATCTGATAAACCCTCCTATTTCCTGAGTTATTCTCTTGCTTTTAGTGTACATTTTTGGATGAAACATTGTGGGATTTTTCTTAATTTTAGTTACCAATATTTTTCATATCCTCTCATTTATTTATTCTCCTAAATTCCCTTTTTGTTTTAACCTCACCCTGTATTTTCTATATTCCTGAGGTTTCTTATTCATGGGATGTGGGCATAATTGACTAGGCCAGCATTAATTTTCCATCCTTACTTGAATTTGAGAAAGTGATGCTGAGCTGCTGCCTTGAGCCACTGCACTCCATTTACTGTGGGTAAACCTGCAGTGTCTTTGGGAGGGAGTTCCAGGATTTTGACCCAGTGACAGTGAAGGAACAGTGATATATTTCCCATGTGAATGGCAAATGGATTAGAGGAGAGCTTGCAGGTGCTAATGTATTTGCTCCCTTGTCCTTCTAAATGGTAATGGTCATGGGTTTGGAAGATGCTGTGTAAAGAACCTTGGTGAATCTTTGCAGTGCATCTTGTATGTGGAACATACTACTACTACTGCTACTGCTACTGACCGTTTGTGGTGGCGGGAGTGACTGTGGATGTGGTACCAATCTGTGTCAAACTGCTTGAGTGTTATTGGAGCTACACTCATCCATGCAGGTAGTGATTATTTCATCCCACTCCTGACTTGTGCCTTGTACATGGTGGACAGGCTTTGGGGAGTCAGGAGGTGAGTTACTTGCTGCAGGCTTCCTAGCCTCTCACCTGGTCTTGTAGCCACTATATTTATCTGTCTAGTCCAGTTGAGCCTCTGCTCACTGGTAACCCCCTCAAGATGTTGATCATGGGGGTTCAGTGATGCTATCAGTATTGAATGTTAAGGAATAGTGGTTAGGTTGTATCTTATTGGAGATGGTCATTGTCTGGTGTGGCACTTGTTTATAACACAGATTCTCCAAGGACACCGTTCTTGCAGCTCACATGCACTCAGAAGAGAGTTTTTTTTTTCTATTTATTGGATATCAGATTACTTGACCCCTCAGTGGCAAATCCATGTGAGTATGTTTTTCACCTATCGAAGAGACTTTGAGATTTTGCAGGATAGCAACTACACATGGCTGTGGCCCTGATAAGTCCACATGATATCCTTGTATATTGAACATGTCATCCTTTTATACCCAGCTATTCGAGCTGTTTGAGATTAAATGTGCAGGTGTACTTCATATTTTCATTTACCAAAGTTAATGACAGGGATTTGTTGCAGATCAGGTTTCTTGTCACATTGAAATAAATAAGTTACTTGAGAGCATTTGACATCAGACAATCTGTTGTGATCAGAGTATATAAGACTGAAAAAGCTCTTGCAGACATTATTGCCTTTGAAGATAAACGATCATCATTGTTCCATTCCTCCAAAGGCGCGAGAACCACAACACTTCACATCAATGGAAGATCCACAGGACTCTCGGGAGCAGCCTGTAAGTTATATGATGCTTCAAAAGAAAGTAATGAATTTTATACTGTATTTTTGTGTAATATTAAATCATGGTTTTTACTCAAATGATTTAGATCTGAGTGAACCATGGCAAAAAATGTTTTTATTAGTGCTGAGCAGATACTTTCATGTAATTTGAGTTCTATTTCAGAGATGAAGATGCTGTAGAAACATTTCCTCTCCAGCTCCATCTGGCGCTATCTCTCTAACCGCCTCTTCCGCCCTCCTGCTCCCCTCTGTCCCTCCATCCTGACCTCGCCTCCCTCTCTGCCGACAATTCTGCTCGTTTCTAGGCTCCTTCTTTTCTCCAACTATCTTTATAAACATTTCTGAATATTGTCACATCCATCCCAACACTTTTTTGCCCCTTTCACACCCTTCCTCTTCCCTCCTTCCTGCTTGAAACATTGAGCTGCTAATGTAGCAATCTATAACTGTGAATCCTTGCTATTGTAGTAAAGATCTCCCAATGTCAATAGATGATGCATTGTCTCATTCTTTGGCAATGTATTCTTTTATATCATCCACTCTTATCAGGATGTAGGATGGACTATTGAAATTTCTCAAGATTGAGTTTTTCTGTCTGTGCTTATTGTAAGTAGTAGAGCTGTATAGCAAGATGCATATGTTTGTTGCTTGAATGTAACCTAGACCATTCCCAATCTTTTTAAAGATCCTTAAATAGCTTATTTAATTTTTTGAAAATCTGTTATCTATGAAGATTAAAAAGTTAATATCTTTCCTTGTCAGGCAAAGAAATCACGCCGTGATTTAGATTCTACAGATGAGCAAGCTTTAAGGTTTGTCAGCATTGTTATATAATGGAAATCTTTCATATGAATGTTTTTGTATTTTGTTTATGTATAGATATATTTATATATCTGTACATGTATTAATAAGGCAGGAAGAAATTTCACAGCTTGCCTTCACCCTATCTCGTGACCTTTTAATACCATGCCACTAATTTGAGGTTATATGTCAAGAAACTTCTGATTGGATCAATGCACAATAAATGAAGGTTATGTTTGTTGGGTGCTGCAATGTTAGAGGGTGCAATTTCTACAGAGGCACGCTGTCAGTGGAAGAACTTGAATGTGTTTCCTTAGGAACTGCATTCTGTCAGTATATTTACGATGGAGAGTTTCACTCAAAGTGAAGGCTTTTAAATTATTAAATAAAGCAATAAATTTAAAGTGTTGGTAAACCCAGTAGAACTGGCAGCATCCATGGAGAGAAATTAACAGTTGATGCTTCAGAATTCAGTCCATCAAGCCTGCTCAGCCATTCAGCATGATCATGATTGATACTTATCTTGCCGCAATAGTCCCAATCTCTCCCTATGCACTTTGATACCTTTGGCCCCTCAACTCCTCTTGTTTTCTTGCATATCTTCATTGACTTTGCCTTCACAGCCTAATGTAGTAGAAAATTACACAGGTTCACCACCTTCTGAGGAAAGAAATCTTTCCTTACTTCAATCTGAAATGACGTACCACGTACCTTGAAACTATGACAACTTGTTCTGGATACTCTAGCAAAGGAAACGCTATCTTTACATCCAGTCTGATCCAACCCTTTTAAATGTTTGTGTTTCAATGTGATCTTTCATTCTACTAAACTCGAGTGCATTCATGCTCAGTGGACCCAATCTCTCCTCGTACAATAAACCTGATATCCCAGAAATGGCCTGCTGTGTTCATCCAGCTCTACACCTTGTTATCCTAGAAATCAGTGTAGTGAACGACTGCTCCATTCCCTCTCTGGCAAGTACTTCTTTGGTAAGGCGATCAAAGTTACTCACGAAGGCCCAGTAAAGCTGCACTAAGACTTCTTGGCTTCTGTGCTCAAAACCTGTTGCAATGAAAATTAAAATAATATTTGCTTTTTGAACTGCTTGCTGCAACTACGTGCTTGTTTTGAGTGACCAGTGTACAAGAAAACTCATGACCCTTCAGTTTTTCCTACTGAAGTGGTCAACTTCATGTTTATCTATGCATTTGCCCACACAACTTATCAAAATCTGCTTGAAGCCTCCTTGCATTTCCTCACCACTTGCAATCCCACCGAGTTTCATGTTGTCAGCAAATTTTAAATATTATGTTTGGTTCCCTTGTCCACACCAATATCTTGTAAATAGATTGGACCCTGCTTCCATTCCAAGGAGGACCCATTTATTTCTACTTTTCTGTCTACTAACCAATTCTTAATCCATGTCAGTATATTGCTACCACATGTTTTAATTTGGCACACTAACCTCTTATGTGGGACTTTGTCAAAAGACTTCTGAAAATCCAAATACACTGCATCTATTCATTCTCGCTCATCTGTTTCACTAGTTATATCCTTTTTTTTTAAAAAAAATCTCCGGTAAGTTTGTCAGAAGTGATTTCCCTCTTGTAAGCCCATTGTGACTTTATGTAATACTATTAGTATTTTCTATGTGTCCTGTTATCACATACTTTAAGCATTTTGTCCACTACCAATGTTAGGGTAACCAGATTATAATTCCTGATTTTCTCACTTTTTCAACTTTTTTAAATAGTGGGATTAAATTTGCAGTAAATGTACTGCTCTCATCTTTAATTAACAACATCACCCTGACTCCTTTTTTTTTTGTTCAGTTTACAGATCATTTTGCCGCTATATCTCACTAATTGCAATCGTATCGTATCTATTTACTAATATTTGCGATATTAATTCATCTACCTTATTGCGAATGTTCCAAACAATCAAAATTGTACCTTTAGATTTGTCTTTATATACACTAAATGCATTATGGTCCTACTTGTGGTTAGCCTTCCTTTCTTGTAATTTTCAATTTAATCTGGTTTAAAAATGTAATTAAAATAAACGTTTCTTGAAAATATTAAAATCACCCAATGTGGGGCTTGCAATGTGACCCTGTAATTGAGTCCTACCTTCTACCAACTGAGCTATCTGGGTTGTGTGGGGAATCTCTGCAAATAAAGAGGCTTTGTTACAGAAACAACCCAGAGGACCATCTGGGGGGATAAGAAGTATTGGAAGAACTGGATTGCCTCACATGCTGTGGGCATTAAGGTAAATGATTCAACAGGGAACATTTCATACAATTATGGCTTTTGAAAAACTTGAAGGAACCAGTCAACAGTGATTTTGTTTGGAAAAATTGATGGGCTCCATTGTGCACTTCGCACTATTACTTTGCAGGCCTTTTTTTAAAACCCCAGTCGTGTGCAAGTTTGATTATTGCAGTAGTATGAATCTGCAGAGTGATCCGAGGTGAGAAAATACAATGTAACCAAAAATGGGCAAAAGCTACTGAATATTTTAATAAAAACAATTTTGCAGTAAAACATATCAAAATAGAATATATTATTCAGAGGTTACTGACGAAAAATAAAACAACTGATGGTTCAAAGAGGGACACCATGTTCATGTATTGATATGGACAGCTAATCCTTCCATCTCTCAATCCACCTGTATAAATGCTAAGAGATAGCAAGAACTGCAGATGCTGGAGTCAGAGATAACACCGTATGGAGCCGGAGGAACACAGCAGGCCAGGCAGCATCAGAGGAGCAGAAAAGTTGACGTTTCGGGTTGGTGTCCCGACTCGAAACGTCAACTTTCCTGCTTCTCTGACGGTGCCTGGCCTGCTGTATTCCTCCAGCTCCGTACTGTGTTATCTATAAATGCCAAGTTTGTTTTTTAGTATTACACATTTTACCAAAAAGGTAATTTTCAAATCTCTCTTTTCCATTTTTCACCTACATTTAAACAAAACAGGGAAAGAATGCACTGCTGCCGAAATGTAAACTAGTCATAGGAGGGTTTGATGAAATTCCATTGGCTAGATCACTCTGCTTCCAATTGTGTGAATGTTAGAAGCGGGCATCTGATATGTCGACTATTCTTTCTCTTAAAATTAACTAGTTGATAAGCAGAGGGTTTCATTGACTGCACCTCAATTAATATATTATGGTCGAAGGAAACTAAATTCTCCTCTCTCCTGTTTCCCTAGGACTGAGGAACTGCAGAACGTAATCCAACTGCAGAATCAAACAAACAGAAATGAAGGGCAAAAGTCTAAGTTTGACTGTCTGTCTAATAACTTTACTGTGCTGAATGAAGCAGAAGGTGAGTTAAACTCATGGTTACTTTGACCACTGGGAGGCATTGCTACAAAACCCAACGTTAGTTAATCCAATTTCAGTGGTGCCAGGCAATGACCATTGCCAGCAAGAATGAATCTAACTATCTCCCCTTGATGCTCAATGGCATTGCCATCACTGAATCTCCCACTGTCAATCTTTTGGTGAGGATTCCCATTGATGAGAAACTGAACTAGAGGAGACTACACGAGCAGGTCGGAGGCTAAGGAATTCTCGTCATTTTGCCGTTTACTTTCTCTTAATGCGCTGCTCTTCCTCTTGTCTTTGTTAGTTCCTGCAGGTTTTATTTTATTTTCTTATATTTTTAAATTCGCTTTTACAGCTGAATAACAACTTTTTCCTGTGGGTTTTTAAAACGTTCTTCCTATCTCATCCCCATTTGTCGACTGTGGTACACAGTCCCAGTATGGACGGATTATTTCTCCATTTTAGAACAAGGCTTTTACGTTTCAGAAAGTCTTTGAACCAGTCTTTATTTTTTAATCTTTGATCTTTCCATAGTTAAAAATGAAATGATACAAAGCAGTGCGTCTGAAACACTGACAAGGAAAAGATCTGCTCGTGTACATCCGGGTTCAGGTAAAATCTTACAAGTGGATATCACTACTTTTCCGTTACCTTATTTAAAATGTTTACTTTGCCAAAGAAGTTAAAACAGTTTATGGATTGGACCCAGAGAAGGTAATTAACACAAGATCTTTTGCAAATCATGGGATATTGGCATCAGTTTTGAACCAAAAATAATTCATGCCAGTGCGATTAGTTTCATCCAAACCAGGGTGGGGTCTAATGGAGAAGATAAATAGGGAGATGGCAAAGTTTTTGTCAGTAAATAGTCAGGAGAACAGTATTACAAGAAATGTAAGCAGTCAGAATGTAGCCAGGGCAAGAGAACATAGGTAAATGCATCAAGGACATTGGTAAGGAGATTAATAACATTACAGAACCAGAAAAATAAAATAACAATTGTTTTATAGAGGAAGTCCTATTAAAATTCAGTTAATATATCTTTACAACAATGCAAAAGTCTTTGTCATAAATCAGAGGAGTTGGAGGCAGTCACGTTTTGGGAGAGGATCATGCAGAATTCCTCACGCAGTTGACTGTGGGAACTACCAGGGAATTTGAGACTTCCAACAGGCAATTACGTACAATCTGCAATGTTCCAAAAAGTCCGCAGCTCTGAGGTAAAGACTTTGAAATGTTCAGACTCGCTTAGTGGTAAGCCAGGAAACGTTGAAGGAATTAACACCCGCTGTAATTGCCAGCTAACTATCAAGCTGAAACCCCGATCCCACATGGGCACATACCATCCTTTTGGACAAACGCTCCCATCTGTAATGAGCTGTAGATCAGAAGCAGTATACACTAACGGGTCAAGGCTTAGATGATGGTGGATTAAATTCCATTCTGGAAATCTCAGCCAGTATCCTAAGCGATTGACATCTACATTTGTCAAAACATACTGCCAGTATGAGCAACAGCTGGTGTTTATGGAGCCCCTTTTCCAATAAAACCTCCCAAGGCATGTGATAGGAGCAACATCAAATTGCTGAATCTCATAAACCAATATTAGGACAGATGACTTAAAGTTTGACAAAAGAGTTAAGATTTAAACAGAGGTCAAGAGGTTCAGAAAAGGAATTCTATAGCTTATGGCCTAGGCAGCTGAAGGCAGAGCTATGTACACTGATTTACACTTGGGAGACAAGAGGACAAAATGGTAGTATGCAGAGATGTCAGCGACTGGACGTTACAGGTTAGAGAGATAGGGAAGGGTGAATTCATGCAAAGGAATTGAAAACAAGGATGAGAATTTTAAAAAAAAGAAGTGTTGTAAGACTGGGAGTGAACATAGGGGAGTCAGATAAATGATATTATGACCATTTGGGAAAGTTTGCCGATTCTCGAGCCTCACTTCTCATCAGAAAAGTTAATGATTTAATCAAAGCAAACAATCAAAACAAAGCCCTCACTTTCCCTATTGGAATCAAGTTACCAGAAAATACTGACCAGATTACTGTACTTAACAATTACTATTTATTGCAAGTATAAGCACAAGTAAACAATTGTTAACTATCAACGCATCACTCTATGAGCTAAAACTCAACCTCTTAAATTCCCTACCTCCCCACACAGACTGCCACAAACCAAAGAAACACTGGTTTATGGATGGAGGGAAAGAAACAGGAAAGCACAGATCATCTGCACTGATCCACGGGCTTTGTGGAGATATTCATTTTGCTTACTAGGACTTTGTTCTCCAAACTGCCTTCTCCAAGCTCTTTATTCCATTTTGCAGGAAACAAAAAACTGTTTTTGGAATAACTACAAAGCTTCTTCGTTAGTGGTTAAAAGAAACAGCTTACAACACCTAGTGGGAGAAAATAACTGACTTTCTTCAGACTTCACAAAAAATTTACTGCACAGAGTGAGAGGGGACACAGATTACCTGTCCTTCCAGCAGCCTGAAGACTTATGCCTGTATCATTCACAGCTGTAAGCTGTTCTGCTGCCAGGAACCAATCATATGTTATCAGGCTGATGACCTTTGTCATCCATGACCAGTTATAATTGTATGAGACAATCAGCTACTTGTTGTTAAACAAATTCCACTGCACACATACTCTGGTGACCTGCATTCTATAAACAACAGTGGCCCACTGCTTGAGCAAAGGAGCAGTGTAAAAACCACACTGTTTAAAACAGCTGTTTTTCTGTTTTAGTCCACAATCAAAAATACAGAAGATATAATGATACAGTCTTTGCAATGGTATCCAATGCTGATATAAATAGCTGAATTTTGAATGATTTAAGTTTGAAGAGTGCAAGGTAGAAGATGGGCCATTGGAATTGTCAGGCCTAGAGATAAAAGAAATGGTTGAGGCTTTTGACAATTGATGACCAAAGACTGGACTGACTTGAACAATGTTCCAAAGATGGCAGTACATAGTCAAATCATTTGCACTACCATTTGGAGCTTCAAAACAGTGGTACCCTGTACAGGGAAGGTTTTATAAAAAATGAAATTTTGTTCTTCAAAACATCTTGCTAACTATTTTTTTAAATGTCTTCCAGCTTGGACAATGAGGTCATGGGAATTAAGTTTCAAACTTCGCCCACTGATTTTTTTTTTCATTTTCCTGATCAACATTGACAGACACCAGACATCTTACTTGCTGTTATAGTTAGACATAAATTTAGGATTTAAAGGGAGTTGCAAACCACAGTACCCTGCTATATTCTTCTGTTGGCCTCTTTCAAAGTTAAAGCATGTTTAAGGCTGGACAGACAGGAGCTTTGGGGCTTGTGAGAAAAAGATCAAACAACATCATATTGAATGTCTGAGCAGGCTCATGGGATCATATGGTCTACTCCTGTTCTTGTGTTTTTGTGTTCTTGTTAATCAGCCCAAAGAGTTTCAGACAGGAACTAAATGCAACTTAAAACAACTGGTTAGAAAATAAATTACATGTGATAATGAAAATTTACAGTGCACTTCTTAATTACTTAAAGCTTTATTTTAAAGTGCCAACTTGGGACAAAATGTAAACTGGCAGTAACTTGTGTGAAATTTAGACCAATTGGGCCAAATGGTCTGTTTCTATGGGCTAAATCTCAGAATAGTCTTTCCAAGTGTCAATTTCATCAAGTTTAATGGACGGTTTCTCTTTGAGCCATGGTGAGATTTCTTGTAGTATCACTCTAAACTTGCCTCATTAGCTCCCTAACAAGCTTCCATGGTGCCCTTGTTGCCTAATGCTAGCCCAATTCTACCACTTTGCTGTACTCAGAAGAACTCATCACTCACTGGTTATCATTGAATAGATCAGCACTCTTTTAAAAGACTGTTGTGTACCCACAGAAGCACTCAGTTCTGAGCTGCCATCCCAGGATGTGGAAAATGGTGATCCAGTTCTCCAGACAGGCACCGAGAGGCGCTAGTGAATAGGATAGTGAGAAAGTTTATTTTCTTTTCAAATGGATGTTTTTAAAGGAATTAGGTTAGGGTCAAAGGCAGAGATCAGAGTTGAGCTGTTGGTTTTTAATAGGTTACCCAGAGAGATTATTTGTACATCTTATTAATGACCACCAATAAAAATTGAAGAGATGTATAGTTTCATTGTTGAAATCTGCTACAATGCAAATTTGGAGACATTGGAAGCTGAATAAAAGTTAGCTTGCAGGAGGGAAGAAACTGGTAGATAGGAGATACATGCTATTCTGTGCAGACGAATTGAAGTGCTAAATTTGGAAGAGAAAAACAAAGGGTATTATACCCAAAACAAATGCTTGACAGTGAACAAACATAGAACCGAAGAGGCAAATGCATAATTCTTTCACGTCAGAATGCAGATAGGTCTTAAATAGAAATCTAGGTTTTATGCATTGAATAAAAAAAATTGGGCAGCAATGGTAAATTTAAATAAGCCTTAGCATGCAGTTTGGGTTCCCAATTTATGGAAAGGATGTTGAAGTCATGAGATGATTGACTTGAATGTACAAGGATCGAAAGACTTAATTAAGAAAGCAAAGAAAAATTGAGATTTTTTTTCTCTATTAGACCAGAGGGATGATTTTTAAAATAATTTTTATTCTTAGTTTTTGCAAACCATTTTCAAATGGCTTGCAGTAAAAATCTTACTGTATTTTAACTGCTTCATGTACAGTAAGTATCATCTATTGAACGCATTAAACCATGAGATATAGGAGCAGAATTAGACCATTCAGCCCATAGTCTGCTCCACTGTTTGATCATGGCTGATATCTTTCTCAATCCCTTTCTCCAGCCTTCTCACTGTAACCCTTGCTCCCCTTACTAATCAAAAACCTATCTATTTCTGTTCTAAATACATTCAATGGCTTAGCCTCTACAGCTTTCTGCGGCAGTGAGTTTCACAGATTCACCACCCCCGGCTGAAGAAATTCCTCCTCATCTCAGTTCTAAAGTGTTGTCCCTTCAGTCTGAGGTTATGCCTTCATGTCCTACTAATGGAAACATCTTCTCCACACCCAATCTAACCAGTCCACTCAGTATTCTGTAAGTTCAATGCAATCTCCTCTCGTCCTTCTAAACTCCCATCAACCAGAGTCCTTCACTGCTGCTTATATGAAAAGCCTTTCAACCCTAGCATCATTCGTGAAAACTTCCTCTGAACACCCTTCCTTCCTTGAATATTGGACCCAAATCCGCTCAAATATTCCTAATAGTCTGGCCAGACCCTTACATTGCCGTAGCAGTACATCTCTGCTCGTGTATTTTAGCCCTCTTGAAATGAATGCTAACATTGAATTTGCCTTCCTAACTGCCAACTGAACCTGAATGTTAACCTTAAGAGAATCCTGAACTAGGATACCTAAGTCCCTTTTTCAGATTTCCAAAACCTTTCCGGTATAGAAAATAGTCTGCTCCTCTAGTCTTTCTATCAAAGTGCGTGACTTCAAATTTTCCACCTGCCACTTCTTTGCCCACTCCTCCAGCCTTTCTGCTCGCTCAACACTACCTGTCACTCCACCTATCTTTTTGTCATATGCAAACTTAGCAACTTAATCCTGATTTGATTGCCTTACTAAAGCAAATACTTTGTATGTTTAACAATTTTAAACTGGGCAAGTAGGACAAAGTGATTTTTGTGTTCAGTTTTGATTCCAGGTAATTGAAATGAAAATCTTCATAAGATAGTTAGAAACAGGAGCAGAAATTAGGCCATTCAACCCATCGTGTCTGCTCCGCCATTGAGTCATGGCTGACAAGTTTCTCAACCGCTTTCTCCCTGTAACCTTTGATCCCCTTGACAATCAAGAACCTATCTATCTCTGTCTTAAGTATACTCAATGACCTGGCCGCCTCCAGCCTTCTGTGGCAAAAAATTCCAGAGATTCACCACTCTATTGCTGAAGCAGTTTCTCCTCATCTATGTTCTAAACAGTCTCCCCTTTACTCTAAAGCTGTGCCCTTGGGTCTTAGTGTCTCCTGCTAATGGAAGCATCTTGCCAACATTCACCCTGTCCAGGCCGTTCAGTATTCTGTAAGTTTCAATTAGATCCCCCTTTATCCTTCCAAATTCCATTGAGTATAGATCCAGAGTCCTCAAACATTCCTCGTATGTTAAGCCTTTCATTCCTGTTTCTTTTTACAGTTATAACCTGCGCGGGTTCTAGTCCACATGTGCCAAATCAAGATAACGTGCTAATGTTTCCTACAAAGTAAGTTCCAGCTATTTTGAATGATGTTGATTTTAGGGTTTAATTGGTTTTTCAATTAGACTAAACAATAGTTTTAAGATTGTGGTTACATAGAATATATAAGTTTTTTTTTTAAGTAATAGAGAAGACCATTAGGCACAAGTACGTGTATTTCATAGATCAAGCCATCTCAGCTGCCCTTTTTTTCCATTTCCCTCATTCTGTCCTCCCTCATCTTGTTTTTCAAATCCATTCAATCTTTCAGTTTCAGAGACCTTTCCTGGCAACTTGTAAATATGACTGTGTTGCTGCTTTAAATTTTTTCATCTGATTTTCCTTTTTGCTATTTATAAATTTATGCCCTTTACATGAACTCTGTGCTGTAATGAATAATTTGTCCAGATAAATATATTTTGATTGAATCGAGTGAGGAGTGGTAGTTTCTATAGTTATACAGCTCAGTTAAAAAGCGTGACTGAGCAAGGGTGTAGTAAGTTTTCTCACAGAATGGAAAATCGGGTAAATTAGTACCTACATGAGGCAAAAAAAATCACTTCCTTGCTGGTTCATGTTTTGTTTAGAAATTAATTTAAACTAATTGCAAAATATTTTGCATTCCAATTGGTTTTGTCACCTTGTTGCATCATGGGTGGTGGACCACTTTTTCTTTGGCTTTGTGTAATTTGCTCTGTGAATTTTCTTCATTAATTGTGTTGTTTTGGAAAGCATGCAGATTTTTTTGCACTTGTGGCGCATTAATGGGCAGATTTCTTCTCGTATATGTTTATCATTTTGTAAGTTCTTGCAAACTTTTGAACTTTCAATTACTAATAGGAAATTTTCTTTATCTTGGTGATTTTTGTATTGGTGCCAGTGCTATACCTAGCATTCAATGCTCTGTATTCACTGCACTTGATAGCTACATCGTATACGTATTTTTTCACTGAGAATTAATGAATTGCCGATCCTATTGCTCAGCTGTTGTGGTAATGCTCCAGGACTCCCCCTCTGCTAACTAGAAATAAGTGCAGCTTATCAATCTGTCATGAAAATCAGATCATCTCGCATTGTAGTGAAAACATCTTTTAAATTTACTTAAAGATGCTTTTGACTAATTCGTTTCCAACCTTTTTATAGGCCATATCCACATTTATTTTCTCCACCAATAGTTCGAGCTGCTTATTCAGAAGAGGCTCGATACCCAGCAGCGCAACCATCAACATCTTACACATCATATCCAGAACCAAATCAGCCTTATGGACTACCTCCTTTCGGTAAACTTATTCTACATTTTCCTTGTGTCCGTTAATTGGATCGAATAATTTTTCGAAGTACTTAATTCATTAGCTTTTCTCGAAATTGTGTATTCAAGTATTGGCCTTGTGTGACATTAAGCTTAAAGAGCCTCAGAGCTACAGAGTTTTAAATGAAACCGTAGAGGCAAAAGGTAAGGGTGGACCAGTGAATGTATGTTATTTTTGCTTCGTCAATTGTGCATTTCTCAGCAATGCTGGAATTTGCTTGGATGAAATCACAGTTGATTATGCTTGGCAGTCATCTTTCTTTGAACAATCAGACATTCTGCAGATTGAGCCTTGGAAGTCATTTGGTTTTGTCCTATTATAGAAAAGACAAAGGGATATCTTGAATCCACTCCATCTGGTCTAGTTTTACACCCAGGTCCCAAATTCCAGCTTATCCTTGTCTCCATTCCCATAATAGTACTTTCCTGAAGGAGTAATAAGTGGTGGCTGTTCAATATATTGCATGTATAAACTTATTAAAAAACTTTTCTTTACAAATTCTCCTGACTTTGAATTGCATACAAATGTTCAATGAGTTTTGTAGTATTAGAAAAGTTACTGTGATGCGGTAGACTGAAACTTTAAATATTTTCTTGACGCGTTGCAGAACAGCCTCCCTAATAGTTTGAGGGGAAATAGGTTTGCATCAAATACTTCCATTCATGCATTTTGGTTTTGATCATCTAGTTATGTAAAAGTACTACTAATTAATAATAATTTTTATCTTAGGTGCATTGTGGCCTGGTGTGAAAACAGAATGTGGATCACCCAGTCAGCTTGGATACCTCCGTTATGATACAGGGTTTAGCTCAAACCAAACCAGCCCAGCACATTACACATATCCTGCACAAGGTAAATTTGTGACATGGGACTCAATATTAACCCCCATCCCATCCTGCCCCTGTGCTCTCCTCCCTCCACATTGTGCCTATCATAGTCATACTGCATGGAAACAGATCCTAAGGTTCAACCAGTGCAGGTCGACCATGTTCCCAAACTAACCTTGTCCCGCCTGCCTGCACTTGGCCCATATCCCTCAAAGTCCTTTCCTATTTGTGTCTTTTAAATGTTATAACTGTACCTGCATCTACCACTTTCTCTAGCAATTCATTCCACACACAAACCACTCTGTGCTTAAAAAAAAAACAAGTTGCCCCTCGTCCTTTTTAAATCTTGTTCCTCTCACCTTAAAATATGCGGCTAGTTTTGAACTCTCCCACCCCCCCCCCCCCCTAAAAAAGCCCCTTATTGTTCACCTCATATATGCCTCTCATGATTTTATAAACCTCAATAAGGTCAGCCCTCAACTTCCTATTTCTATATCTCAAACCCTCCATTCCAAGCAACATCCTTCTAAATCTTCTCTCAAGTTTACCAACATCCTTCCTATAGAAGGCAACCAGAATTGTAAGCAGTATTCCAAAAACGGCAGCACCAATGTCCTGTACAGCTGCAACAAGAGATCCCAACTCCCTATAGTCAATGTTCTGACTAATGAAGGCAAGTGTGCCAAAAGCCACCTTCACTACCCTGTCTACCTGCGACTCCACTTACAAACAACTATAAATCCACCTCGGTCTTTTTATTCGGCAACACTTCCCAGTACCCCTACCATTTACTGTATATGGCCTACCCCGGTTTGCCTTACCAAAATGCAACACTTCAGTTTTCTAAATTAAACTCCATCTACCACTCCTCGGCCAATTGGCCCAAATGATCTCGGTCCTGTTGTACTCTGAGATAACCTTCTTCATAGTCCACTACACCACCCGTTTTGGTGTCATCTGCAAACTTACTAACCGTACCTCCTATATTCACATCCAAACATGTATAAAACGAAAAGCAGTGGACCCAGCACTGATCCTTGTGGCACACCACTGGTCACAGGCCTCCAGTCTGAAAAACATCCCTCCACTATCAGCCTCTGTTTCTTACCTTGAAGCCAATTTTGTATCCAATTGGCTAGCTCCCCCTCAATCCCTTTTGATCTAACCTTACTAACCAGTCTACCGTGTGGAACTTTGTGGAGCACTTTACTGAAGTACATGTAAACGATATCTAATGCTCTATCTTCTTCAATCTTCTTTGTCATCTCTTCAATAAACTCAATTCAGTTAGTGAGACACAATTTCCCACACACACAAAGCCATGCTGACTATCCCTAATCAGTCCTTGCCTTTCCAAATACATGTAAATCCTGAGCCTCAGAATCCCCTGCAACAACTTATCCACCACTGATGTAAGGCTCATTGGTCTATATTTCCTAGCTTTTCCTTACAGCCTTTCTTAAATAATGGCACCACATTAGCCAGCCTCCAGTCTTCTGGAATCTCATCTGTGGCTGTCGGTGATACATAGGGCCCAGAACTGGGGCCCAGCAATCTCAATTCTGGGAAACACCTGATCAGGTGCTCGGGATTTATCTACCTTTATGCACTTGAAGACTTCCAGCACCTCTTTTGAAATGCATACGCTTTTCAAAATATCACTATTTATTTACTCAAGTTCTCTCGCTTCCATGTCCTTCTCTACTGTAAATATGATGCAAAACACTCGTTGAGTATCTCGCCCACCTCCTGTGGTTCCACATATAGATGGTTTTTGTTGAACTTTGAGGGGCCCTGTTCTCTTCCTAGTTACTGTTTTGCTCTTACCTCCTTGACTCTATTTGCTAAAACTATCTCATGACCCCTTTTTTTGCCTCCCCGATTTTCCAGTTAAGTATAATTCTACTGCCCTTATACTCTTCTAGGGATTCACTTGATCTCAGCTGTTTATACCTGATAAATGTCTCCTTTTTCTTGACCAGCACCTCAATTTCTCTAGTATCCAGCATTCTGTACACCTTCCAGCCTTGCTCTTCACACTAACAGGAACATACTGTCTCTGAGCACTCATTATCTCATTATTAAAGGCCTCCCACTTCCCAACCATCCCTTTGTCTGTGAATAGCCTCTCCCATTCAAATTTTGAAATTTCCTGTCTAATGCATTCAAAATAGGCCTAACTCCAATTTAAACTTTAACTTTTTGATCAATTCCATCCTTTTCCAAAACTATTTTAAAATTGCTAGAATTATGATCACTTGCCCCAAAGTGCTCCCCCACTGACGCTTCACGGACTTGCCCCACCTTACTTTCAGAAGGTCAAGTATTGCTCCTTCTCTAATGCATCCACAAATTGAATAAAAAGGTTTTCTTGTACACATTTAGCCAATTCCTCCCCATTCAAGCCCTTAATACAATGACAAGCCCAGTCAATGTTTGGAAACTTAAAATCCCCTACCATTACGACCAAATTTTTCTTACACATTTCTGATATCTCCTTACATATTTGCTTTCCAATTTCCCACTAACAATTGGGGGGGCCTATGATACAATTCCAACAAAGTGATGAACACTTTGTTATTTTTAAGTTTTACCGATATAACTTCACAGTGCAATCTCCCAGGAGTATCCTCCCTAAGTATAGCCGTAATGTTCTGCTTAAGCAAAAATGCCATTCCACATCCCCTCTCGCCTCCCTTTCTATTCTTCTTGTAGCACCTGTACCCCAGAACATTAAGCTTCTAGTCCTGTCCCTCCCTGAGCCACGTCTCTGTAATAGCTATAATATCCCAGTCCCATGTTCCCAACCATGCCTTGAGTTTATCTACCTTACTACTCATGGCCTCTTTCATTGAAGTAAATGCAGTTTAATTTATCAGTCTTACTTATTCTCTGCCACGTTCTTGATTATTAGATTTGCTCCCCATATCTACTATAGCAGTCTCAGCCTTTTTTCTATCACTTTGATTCCCACCCATTCACAAAACTAGTTTAAAGCCTCCTGAGTAACACTAGCTGTGGAACCCGTCCCTGTTATACAGGTCATTTCTACCCCTGAAGAGATCCCAATGATCCAAAAATGTGAATCCTTGCCCCCGTACCAGCTGTTCAACCGCACATGCATCTGTTGTATCATCTTATGCCTACTCTCATTAGCACATAGCACCAGTAGTAGTGCAGATATTACTACCCTGAAGGACCTACTTTTTAACCTCCTTCCTAGTTTCCTATATTGTCTCTGCAGAACCTCGTACCTTTCCATACCAATGTTGTTGGTACCAATGTGTAACAACGACCTCCTGCTGGTCACACTCCCTTTTTAGAATATTCTACACCCTCTCCAAGACATCCTTGACCTTGGCACCAGCAAGGCAACACGCCATCCCGATGTCTTGCTGATGACTGCAGAAACGTCTGTTATATTGTATGCATGTAAATTTTAGCTTTTATTTTTGACAGGTGCCTGTTTCCCAAGAGCCAGTAGTTATTCTGGCAGTACTGCTGCTGCTGCTTTTGTTGTCACCAGTGCTGCAAGCCTCAGCAGCTCTAATCAGGTACATAATGTTTTTTTTCCTGTCATATTTGCAACCAGTTTAATTAAGCAATATTATCAACATTCTCCATTTTGTTTCCATAGGATCATCCTTTCTACACGTCTCTTGGACAAAGCCAGTTTGTGTCATATGTTCCCAATTCAAATCGTGGAACCACTACTCCAAACTCTCTGCCTCCCAGTAACCCCTCAACAACTGTTATTTTCCAGATGCATAAAATGCAAACAAATATTTCCAGTTCATCAAGCCAGGATTACCAAGCTGGTAATGCATTTTTGTAGAACTCTGTTTATAAGCTGGTCTGTTGAAAATCTATAGTATTGCCACATGGAACTGTAATACTTTTTATATTGAGATTTATGATGGTGTAACATAAAGCGATACTGATAGTGCAATGGCTGTTCTTTTATTAATCAGCTGCACACTTAACTTGCATTAAGATCAGATTTTACTTTGCTCCAGTAGTCGTGTCCTCTTGTTAGAAGTAAAGTTTTTATTAAATAGATGGCTAGTATATTTTGGAACCTTTTAAACTCAATTTTAATGACACTGCTAATTAAAATAACGATTGATTTTTGGTTTTTTTGTTGACTGTAGGAGTAGTTGACTGGTTGAAAAATGATATTCCTCACAAATTTAATAAAAATAAAACTATTGAAGAGTTAATGCAGACAATGCACTTATGTCATAGGAAAATCTTGAGTACGGTATCAGCATCCCAATGCCATGTATGTGCATCTGCAGTCTCAATTTTTAGCAGACAAAGGGAAGAAGTGCAGTTTGGAATTTAACAAGGACCTGAATCACCTTTAGATAATGTTGTGAGGATTTTAAAAAAATATATTAGAAAATTCTTTTCAGAATGAAACAAGGACAAAAGGGCACTGATACAGTTGACATGCTAATAGTTCCCGGTTGTTCCAAAATTGTTACAATGCAAAAAGAGGCCATTTGGCCCATCATTTCTTTGAGCAGTTTATGTTGTGCCATTCCCCTGCTTTCTCCCCATAAAACTGTACACTTCCTGTTCACGTAATGGTTCAAATCCCTCCTGAATGCCTCAATTGAGCTTGTCAGAGTCTTGCTCTGTGAATTCCAAACAATTACCACTCTGTGTGAAAATTATTGTTCTCATGTCACCTTTGTTTCCTTTGCAATCGCTTTAAATCTGTGTCCCCTCTTTTTCTCGATATTTTCAAGCATGGGAGCAGTTTATCTACTCTCTTTAGCTCCCTGGTGATTCTGAATACTGCCATCAGATCTCCTTTTGGCCTTTTTCCTAAGAAAAACAGTCAATATGTCTCCAGTCTAGCTAGCATTCCTCCTCCTTGGAACCATTCTCATGAATTTTTCTCTACCAAATGTAGAACCCCGTGACTCCACATTATTTCTAAAGTGGTGGGTCCAGAACTATTTGAATTTCTCTTGCTGCAGATCCTACAGTAGCAGATAAATGGATTGAACTAAAAGTTGAGAGAACTTCGAAAACAGAAAACTGTATTTTCCCAAATCAAAAGCTGCACATTTTTTGTGCCGTAATGATCATTCTTGTTCATTGTCAAAATCTTCTTGATGTTATTTCATTGAGTTAGAAGAGAACTGACATGTAGACTTTGGAACTGACTGTGGAACATTATAAACTGGAAAAGGGTTTTTGTAGTTCAGTCTGCTGAAAATGGTTGGTAGTGTAAGAGGAGGACAAAGCTGATGAAAGTGCACTTGTAGTGTTTGAAAAAAGTTCCAACTTCACAGTATATGTGGCAGCTGTGGATCAGAAATTTAATTGGAGCAAAAATAAATGTAGGTTAAAAGAGAAAAATTTTAAAAGACATCACTTTAGTTTTTGCAGTCATGCAAAATGTCAAGATATTGATGTTTTCAAGGAAATGTAGTCTTAAAATTCCATATTCACCCTTCAAAGTACTGGCTTAATTTTTCTTTTTCGCTTAGGAGATTCTGGTGCAAGTCAAAGTGCAACACCCATAATAGTGAAGGAACTTGAGGAGCGATCTCGAAAAACTCCAGGTGGCAAGTCCAAGGGGAAAGGAAAGAGGAATTGTTTTTCCCCACTGCCTGATAATGAACTGGAGGTTTGTTTTAGCTTTCGACCAAACTTTGTGTAGGAGGGTGAGGGTAGAATGGGCAAGCTATTTACTACATCTCCTGCCATTGACTGGAAATGTAGACAGTTTTGTGAATCTGCCTGTTGACATCACCATTGAATAAGCGTTCATGTTGTCAGTGACCATGGATGTATTATCAAATCTCTGCAATGACAACAAGGTAGAGAAAGTACTGCAACGTCAAAGAGATAAAGCCAACCCCAGACAGAATACCAATTAACTTGCCAGAACCTATATCAGGCCATGGAAGTTATCAAGATATTGAGCTTATTTAAATATTGTTTTCTGTCCTGGCATGTTGAGGCTTCACATTGAGCGCTTTTCACAGCCCAGCTAGCTCAGTTGGATAATAATCAGACCTTTAATCCCAGGGGCATTGTTTTGAGTTCTCCAAGAGATAATAAATTATGTATTTTGTCCTAGGTATGTGTTCATTTTTTTTAACAAAAAAAGTTAGTTAATTCTCTACAGTGAGTTAATTGGATATTACCAATTTCCTGATTTGCATATCTTCATTATCATTATCTGTCTTGAACTTGCTGATTGTTCTGGTCATAATTGTTGAGAATGGAGTTATCGAACACTGATCAGATGCAAAGTAAGAAGCCTAATGCAATACAACAGTGTTGAATATGAAGAAATATGTTTTAAAAATGGTATTTCACAAAGCTTGGAAGATTCGGAATGGCAACTTATAAGTTGTGTATAATAATCTTCCCATGTGTTCCTTTACAGCGTGTGTTTGTGTGGGACTTGGATGAAACCATTATCATCTTTCATTCACTACTTACTGGGTCATATGCACAAAAATTTGGAAAGGTTGGTACAACAATGATTTGAAAGGCTTCATATAGCGCAAAGTATTGGAAATGGAACAATACTAAATTTGTAATGAGTTCGTTTTTAAAAAGTCTATTGTTCTTCAAATGTGCATAACAATTTTTGCCACATTTATTTAAAAAACACAATTGTTTGCGTAAAGCATGCAAGCTAACTCAACAACGCAAAATGCTTTTACAGGCTTCAGGCATAAAAATCTAAATACAGAAGAACTACAGCTGCTAATTGACCTGAATTCCTGTTAGTCATGCAGCCTTCAACTGATCCAAGGAAGCCTCAATTGCAGCTTGTTCTGTTGGAGTACATATTAAGTTTTGTATATAGAAACACTTCAGTAGTAAAATAATACTTTGATATTACTTTCTACCTTTTTTAAAAATGTCCTCCAGCATTCTATGATCAGGACACCAGGTGATCTTCTAGTTAATTTTCTTCATAAATTTCCCAGAATCTGAACTGGAAATTTACAGAATTATAGTGAAATTAGTAAGTGTCCTAATCTTCAGCTCTGTAATTTAGACTCTCAGCATTAATGAGTGCAGCAGAGCTGAACTAACAATAGCTTAGAACTCATAGTTAGAGTGCCAGTTGACAGCTGTTTTATTAATAGGCAAAAATAGACATGCTAGCACTTTTAAGCCAAGTTAACTTCAAAATGGCTATAAGAAAGAGGTACGCAGTTGCGGATTATATCTAGTAGAATTTCCTTTTAAATGCTTGATGTGCCATGTTTAAACATGGGACGGCATGGTGGCTCAATGGTTAGCACCGCTGCCTCACATTGTCAGGGACCCGGGTTCGATTCCACCCTTGGGCGATTGTCTGTATGGAGTTTGCACATTCTCCCCATGTTTGCATGGGTTTCCGCTGGGTGCTCCAGTTTCTTTCCACAGTCCAAAGATGTGCAGGCTAGGTGGACTGGCCGTGCTAAATTGCCCATAGTGTTCAGAGATGTGTAGGTTAGGTGTGTTAGCCATGGGAATTGTGGGGTTACAGGGAAAGGGTAGGGGGATGGGTCTGGGTGGGTTGCTCTTCGGAGGGTCGGTTGGACTTGTTGGGCCGAAGGGCCTGTTTCCACACTGGGGATTCTATGATTCACTATTCTTATAATATACACCTGATGCTGTTTCTGATTTTACAGAATGTTGCTGTTTTATCATTACACAGGTTTTTAAATGCCATCTCTAATTTTCTCCTTGCACAATTGTGTAGTTTTACTAAGTAATTACATTATTTGGAAAGTTGGGTACATTTATTTTCCATGTATCAATCTAGATACAATGTTAATATTTTTAGTATTAGTCATTTAGTTGAAATTCCATAGCTTCCTCAAAGTGGCAAGACAGATGGATAAGGTGGTAAAGAAGGTGTATGGCATATTTGTCTTCATTGACTGGGTCATTGTATATAAAAGTTGTCAAGTCAAATTGCAGGCATTTAAAACTTAGGCCACATTTGAAGTAGTTCTGGTCACCACACCACTATGAGATGGATTTGGAGAGGCTGCAAAAGGGGCTTACCAGGATGTTGCCCAGATTGGAGTGTATTAGCTGTAAGGAGAGATTAGACAAACTTAGATGGTTTTCATTAGAGCGTTGGAGGCTGAGAGGTGACCTGATTAGAAGTACATAGAAATATTAAAGGCATAGCATGGATAGTTGGAGTTTTTGTTTTTCCAGAGTGAAAATGTCAAATACTAGGGGCCATAGGTTTAAGGTCAGATGGGGTAAGTTTATTGGAGATGTGCAAGGCAAATCTTCTACGCAGAGGGTAGTGTGTGCCTGGAACCCACTGTCAGTGAAGGTGGTAGAAGCAGATACTGTAGCAACATTTAAGAAGCATTTAGACAGACACATGAACAGGCAGAGAATACAGGAATATGGACCATGTGCAGGCAGACGGGATTATTTTAGAATGGCATCATGATTGGCACAGACATGGCAGGCTGAAGGGCTTGTTCCTGTGCTGTACTGTTCTATGTGCTACGTAGCTAAACGCATTCCTGTTCAAGAGGCATTGGATGCTGATTAGGAAAGGAAGCTTTGAAGCATCTGTTTCTTTCACTTCAGTCCTCCGATTACACTCCAGAGTCTCAGTAAACTATCTTTGGTGCTGCAATTATATTTTCCTCCTACGCCAACTAATTGGCCCACATGTTTTTTTTAAAATCTTCCCTGAAACATGACTTTTACATAATGTGTATGCTGACTTTTTTGACGTGATTGTTTTACAGGATCCAACATCAGCATTGACATTGGGACTGCGAATGGAGGAAATGATTTTTAATCTTGCTGACACACACTTGTTCTTCAATGACTTGGAGGTAATAAACAATGATTAGTGACCAAGTATTAGCATGTCAAAAGATTTAACATGTTTCCATGTAAGCTTTAAACTCAAATTCTAACCATTAGAAGCAGGCAGGAGTTATTTGACAAATTAACTACATCAAAATCTAATTTTATTCAGGGAAAAACATTGCTGTTCTGTTTAGTATTAACACCACCTACAGAGTAATAAATTGTGGATTGGTGTTGGTCTTTACAGATCTTTATTACTCAGGCATTGCTGTGCAAAGACTATGCATTTTTGCAGCAGCTAGATAATAAACCCTGAAGGTTAATTCAAAATGAGACTTTATCCATTTTCAGGACTGGTAGGCTGAGGTATCATGTTGCAGCTAATTCAACATTAAGGAGTAATCACAACCTTTTCTTTCATTTCTCCGTGCTAAGTAACATAATCAGTGATGCCTCCGATGAAGCGACGTTGTTCTACTCCGCTTGGAATTTCTACTGTCCAGTCCATTATGCCTCTAGGAATTCCTATTCGTGCCTGTGGCAATGACTGCCATAAGCATTACATCACAGACAGGAAGGAAACTAGCCATCAGAATACATGAACATCAGCTAGCAGCAAAATGACACAATGAACTTTCCTTAATTTCAGTACACTTGGACAATGAAGGCTATCAATTTAACTGGGACAACGTAACCATCATAGCCCAAGCCAAATTAGACACGCACGGGAATTCCTAGAGGCACGGTTCTCAACCCATAATTAAATCAACAAACATATAGAATTGGACCCCATATACAAACTCGTACAGAACAAAACCGGAAATGACACTACTCACCATAACAGACTTGACAGTATAAGTTCCAAGCGGAGTAGAACAACATCACTTCATTGGAGGCCTCACTGATGATGTTACCTGGCACGGTGATGAAACGTCTGAACGAAAACAAGCCAGCTCGGACAGCAAGTCAACAACCTCACCCACAACCTGAGCTACAGATCTTTGCTAAAACCTTAAATAGTGAAGTATGATACAGAATCCCATGGATAGTCGGTACAATGCAACACGCAGTCCATATGATTGTATCACTATTCATGTGTTAGGACTGTAATATTAATGTGGAGGCTAGAACCTTGAGTTTGCTTTCTCTGTATAATTCCTAATTCATATTTTTTGCCTTAATTACTCAACAGGAGTGTGATCAAGTTCACGTGGAGGATGTTGCAGCTGATGACAATGGACAAGACTTAACGTAATCATTTTAAGCTATGACGCAAAGTTATGGTTGAAATTGATAGCTCTCCGAGACTGGTTGTTTGCATTTTCTCCTTTTTGTTTTATACTTGTTTCTTTTATTTTAACCTTCACTCAGAGTATTGGAAATCTGGAACTCTCTCCTTGAGCCTAACTGTAGTGAAAATATAACATTCGATTTTTGTTTTTGTTGGCAAGGGTATTAACAGTTAAAGAACCCAGGCAAATCAGTGAAGTTGAGATATAGATGAGCTTTGATCTAAATGAACGGTGGAACAGGCTGAGGAGCTAAATGGCCTACACCCGATCCTGCACATTCTGTAGCTTTGCTTATGCTTTATTGATATATCTAAGATTTTTTTCTAACACTTGAACGATATCTAGTAAGAAGATATCTTAATTTTTGGTTTCAGTAACTACAACTTTACTACTGATGGTTTTCATGGATCAGTGTCTGGTTCGAGCCTTTGCACAGGTGGTGGTGTACAGGGAGGCATTGATTGGATGAGAAAGCTGGCCTTTCGATATCGCCGTGTAAAAGAAATATACAACATGTACTGTACAAATGTTGGAGGTAAGCTTTTTGTAACAAAGTTGTAAGTAGGCCGCTTTGAGAACTTTTTTCCCCATTTGTTATTGGTAAAGGGGCAAAGAAAAATGAACAAATATCATTCTTTTATGTCAACAGACCTGCTCAGTCCAGCCAAGAGGGATTCCTTACAGCAGTTAAGAGCTGATGTTGAAGTTTTAACTGACTGCTGGCTAACAACTGCATTGAAATCACTATTGCTAATTCAGTCAAGGTAATGGACTTAACTGAAATATATAAAAATGTAAATGTTTTTGAATCCTGTTGACAATATTTGTTTATTTTGTCTTTCTACTGCATTTTCATCGAGACAGTGCTGTGGTATTTCAAATAAAAAAAGCCTATTCCAATTCACCAGGTTCAGATTTGTACAGACTTTATGGTAGCATGTTTGAAATTATAATTTAATGTCTTTACATCCTTGGAAGGCTCATCTCTCAAGTGCAAATAAAGAATTTGAGGACGTGCTGCATATTGTTTTCCTATTATTTTAACAGAGAAATTGTCTGCTCATTGTAAGTAAGGTTAAGTTGAAATTTTCAGCCTAGTTTGCAATAGGCAGTGGATCCCTGTATAAAACTGCTCATATTTAAACACTAATAATCTTGCTTGGAAAGGGCTTGAGGGTGGTTGATATAAAAAGTGGAGGAATACTAAGTTGTACGAGAAGTTGAAGCTGACAGCTAAAGTGACAGACTTCAGTTTAGTAATCTCAAAAAGAATTAAATGGAAAGGTAGGGGAGGAAAAAAAAATGAAAATTCAGCAAAATAAATAGACTATTTGAAATCTTGGTTCTTTATTCCAGAAGAAACTGTGTTAACATCCTGGTCACGACAACACAACTAGTTCCAGCTCTGGCTAAAGTGTTGCTGTATGGACTAGGGAAAATTTTCCCTATTGAAAACATTTACAGTGCCACAAAAATAGGTAAGGGATTTGGTCTCAACTTTATTTTCACTTATTGTCTTTGGATGGTTTCCTATTGAATAATCAAATACAGCTTCATTGGCACAACGAATTGGGTAGTCTTTTTCAAACTTCACACATTGCATTACAAGTAAGCGTCATCAATATAAAGTGGAAATTCATGTTTTGTGACTGTAACAATTCTGTCATTCTGATTAGTGTATGAAGGAGGCCATTCAACCAATCATGTCTGCATTAGTTCTCTGAGTATTTAATTTAGTGTCAATTTTCTGCCTTTTTCCCTGTAACCCTGCATACTCTTTCTATTAAAATAATCATAGTCTTTTCAAATGTCTCAATTGAATTTTTCTCCTCCACACTCCCAAGCTGTACATTTCATACCCCAACTATCCACTGTGTGAATTTGCTGTTCACACTTTGCATTTGCTGCTTCTGCAAATCACTTTAACACTGTGCCCTCTGGTAATTGATCCATTTGTGAGTGGGAACAGTTTCTTCACGTCCACTCTGTCCAGACCTCTCATGACTTTGAAACCTTCCACCAATCTCCTCTTTGTTTTCCTTCAAGAGGAGAAGACAATCCCATCTTCTCCAATCTTTCCTCATGGCCTAGTGCTTTTATCACTACTGTTAATCCAAAAATGCAGCTAATGTTCTGGGGATCCGAGTTTGAATCCCAACATGGCAGATTGAGTTGAACTTTAAAAATATCTGAAATCAAGAATCCACTGATGATCATAAAACCATTGTCTGAAAAATCCATCTGGCTTACTAATGTCCTTCAGGGACATCGTTGCCTGGCCTGGCCTACATGTAACTCTCTCCTCTGCGCTATGAGGTCCAGATGTTGGGACAGTAAGTTTTGATGATTAGAGCCTTCTCTGTTGCTTTTGTCATTTTCAGTTCTGAAATTTTGTGTGTTGGAGTAAGGGATTTTATTGAAATGCAGGCAAAATATTATTTAAACAAGCTACAGCTGACTTTGAAAACATCAGTTTGTGTTGGGAGCATAGTTGCAATTTAATTGTGAAATTCTGAACACAATATGCATATTAAATAAGCAGAGATAACTGCATTGAAAAGGACAATTAGAACACTCAGTTCACACTTAGGCCACAGGTATGAATCTAGCTCAAGCTATTGGATGCATTGGACAGCTGACAGAAAGCTCAGCAGAATAAATTTGGCCAATCTTAACTTGGCCCCATATGGGCACGAATTCACGGTAACATTCTTCTGTTATAATGCCTTGCATTAGCTAAGCCAAGGTGAGTTACTTAGTAATTCTGCCATTATGCAAATCAAATTCTCAAAGGTGCAAGCAGTTGGCTCTCTGATTCCAAGGTGCATATGTGTGCTGTATGCATCATTGTCTTAAATGTCCAAGGAAGCCAAAGTGCCTATCACGTACAATACATGATACTGGAGGAATGCACATTATATCTGCTAGTGCATTGGCATTACTTCAGTAGCCAGGTATAGTGCATCTCATCAGAGACACCAGCAATAAAAGGTACATCTGTAAACATAAGTGTTTTTAATCTGCATATAGATTGGGCAAATCAAATCAGTAATAATACCACAGAGGAGGAATTTCTGGAGTGTACATGGGATGGTTTTCTGTATCAATAAGTTGAAAAACTAACTAGAAAACAGGCCATCTAGTACTGTGTATTGCATAATGAGAAAAGAATAGTTGGAGATAAGGACACCATAGGAAAGAGTGACCATAATATGACAGAATTCCTCATTAAGATGGATAGTGATGTAGTTGATTCTGAGACTAAATAAAGGAAACTACGGTGCTGTGAGGTGCAAGCTGGCGATGATAAATTAGGGAATGTTACTTAAAGGGATTGGTGTAGATAGAAAATGGCAAGCATTTAAAGAGCACATAGGGGAACTGCAACAACTCTTCAATCCTGTGTGGCACAAAACTAAAATGGGAAAGACGGCTCAATGATGGCTATCAAGGAAAATTTATGGATAACATTAGATCCAAGAAAAGGGCATAGAAAATTGCCCTATAAAAGCAGTATACTTTGGGATTGGAAGCAGTTTAGATCTCAGCAAAGGAGGACAAAGGGCTTGATTAAGAGTGGGGAAAAGTAAGCTTGTGGCAAACGTACAAACTGATTTAGATACATGAAGAGAAAAAGAACGATTAGTGAAGACAAATATAGGACCCTCAGTCAGAAACAGGAAGTTATAATAGGAACAAAAACCGCAGACCAATTAAATACATATTTTGGTTCTGTCTTGACAAAAGAGGACAAAAATAATGTCAGTAAAATGTTGATAACACAGGGTCTAGTGAAAGGGGTGAATTGAATAAAATTGTTGTTAATAGGAAAGAGGTACTGAGGAAATTGGGAATAAAGCCCAATAATCTACATCCCAGAAAAATTAAGGACGTAGTTCTAGAAATAGTGGGTGCATCCATGGTCATCTTTCAAAATTCTAAATATTTTGGAACAGTTCCTTTGGATTGAGAGGTATTTAATGCAAACCCACTATTTAAAGGAAGCAGAAAAACAATTTATAGATCTGTTAGCCTGGCATTTACAGTGGGGAAAATACTAGAATCTATTATAATAGCAGAGCACTTGGAACAATAGTGACAGGATTGGACAGAGTTGCAATCGATTTATGGAAGGGAAATCATGCTTGACAGATCTACTAGAATTTTGAGGATGTAACTGGTAAGAGTTGGTAAAGGAGACACAGTGGATGTTATTTACTTAAACTTTCAGAAAGCTTTCAGTAAGGTGTCACGTAAGAGATTAACCTGTAAAATTAAAATCCTTGGGATTCAGATTAATGTATTGACATGGATAGAGAACTGGCATGCAGGAAGTAAAAAGTTGATATAAACAAGTCTTTTTCCAAGTGGCTGTGACTAGTGGGGTATTCAGCAATCAGTGCTCGGACCCCAGTTATTTACATTATATATTAATGGTCTAGGTGAAGGAACTAAATGTAAAATCCCCACGTTTGCAGATGTGGAGAAAGTGGGAACAGGGTAATAAGCTGAATGATCAGCCATGATCATACTGAATGGCAGAACAGGCTTGAAGGGCCAAATGGCCTATTCCTGCTTTGTTTTCTGTTTCTATTTCTATCTCCGTGCTCACAGTGATGGAATATGTTGCATGTGGGATTCTGAAAAGTTGTGATTGGGCTGCAATTATGAGCAGGTTTTAAATTGAAATGAAGTTTGGTGTCACTTTTTTGTTTAATTTACCCAATGAATAACAACTCAACAGATGTGAAGTCAGCATAGAACTCTGTACATTGGGGACATTAAGCAGTTGTTAAAACATGCTATCATTGTAAGTGAAGCATATTCAGTATTCAATTTGTACTTCACGCTGGTGTTGGTAAAAATGAATATATTCTTGTTCTCAGTTGGGCCACTGATTTTTTTTTCCACTTCAGATCAATGTTTTCAGAAATATATAGGAATTGCATCGAAATATGAAGGAATTTGCCACATTGAAGAAGATTTCTTTTATGTTCACTTAATGCATTGAGTGCCTTTTATTTACTAGCTGGATGTAAACAATATACAGTCTGTTTGTCTGTGTTGTATGTTGACTTGCAGCTGATTGCTCCATGCAGTCTTATTCTGCTTGCCAGTTTAAACTGAAACAGTACAGGTTCCAGCTGCTTAGAACATTTTCCTGAGAGATCTGTCCGATCACCACCTGAAGGTTAATGTGAAAATCATTTCTCAAGAAGGAATGTTCTGTGTCGTCAAAGTATTTCATTTTCACAGAATTAACCTTGTCTAAGGTGGGAAAATGAGGTAGTTGTTTATTGCCAAATGAGTCCCGCAGACAGCATTCTGATTTTGGTGATTTTTTTTTACTTTTACAGACATATACTTGTTGGACGATTTCCTCCTTTTCATCAATTTGTCTTGAGGGTGAAGGAAGGTTTTTTAATACCTTCTGAATGGATAAAGAGGATTAGTTTAACATCACAACATTCAATATATGTGAAGTACATCGCCACACCCTGTTTTGCTCCCAAGAGTCTTTTCAGCAAAGTTTGTTTGATTCAAGCTATTATCAGGAATTTTTTTTTTATTTAACAGTTGGCCTTGAAGGGCACATGGAAAGAATTCATGAAGCCTAAATAAACAAAACCTCCTCTTGGCTAAGCTGCAAAAATCAATGAATTTGTCATTCTTTCAGGCAAAGAAAGTTGTTTTGAACGGATTGTGTCCAGATTTGGGAAGAAAGTTACATACGTAGTCATTGGGGATGGTCGAGATGAGGAATATGCAGCTAAACAGGTAAACTTGATTTTAAAATGGTTTGCAGTGAATGTAAATTATGACAAAGGTTTGATACAAATGCAATGGCAATAATGCAATTAAAGGGATAAGTGCCAAAAATTGAAAAATGATGCATTGCTAAGCAAAGTTGAGAGTTGGCAAAATATTGGCAATGATAGTTTCAAACTGTCATAATGTATGGGTTCTTTTTGAAGAAAGTGGGATTTCTCTTAAAGTAAGTTTTGGTAATGACTGCATAATTAACGTTTTTGGGTAAGTTTGAACCTGACCTATCAAAGCAGGGTAAACTGCTTTCTTATACTTAAAACAGAGTCAAATTCAGTTGTCTGGAAAATGCACTTTAAACGTACATTACTTGAAAATCCTATTTTTTTCTTCCTTCATTTGCTTTATTTGAAATTTTGCCAAGATTTGCTTTATAACCTTCTCTGAATCTATCATGTCTTGATGTACAATAGGTCAGAAATCATACGACAGGTTATAATCCAACAGGTTTATTTGAAAACACAAGTTTTTGGAGTCTCAGTCCTCCTTCAGGTGTTAGGCTCCGAAAGCTTGTGTTTTCAAATAAACCTGTTGGACTATAACCTGGTGTCATGTGATTTCTGGCCTTGTCCACCCCAGTCCAACACTGGCACCTCCACATCATTGATGTGCAATAGGTCTGAGCTTAATGCTAACATCGGAGTATACATTGCATACCTGAAATGATCACACTAAACTGCCATATTGACCTGTGAAATGGATTCTGAAACTTGATCAAGCATTTCATCAGTTTTTTTTATTGTTAGTTTTTTCTGTGATTTATTTTTTCCATAATTAGACCTATTCAGGTTTTCAGCACCATTTGAGTGTTGCATTGTTTAATTTCTTATCATTTTCAAACAGATTTTCCTTCTTATCCTTTACATTCCCTGGCTACTTTCATTCGTATTAATTGTTGAGTTCCTGTCTATTTTGATGCATATTAACTAATTGTGCCTCAAATTAAAATTTGTTTGTAAAAAAGATTCTCTTCCCTGAGAGACAACAATTCCAAA